TTCGTTTCATTAGTTTTACTACAAATTCCTTTCAGTCGGAATTCGTTGGATATTGCTAGGGAAAAGTTAGTTGTGGGCTCAACAGTTATCCAATTTAGTTAATCAAACTGCAAGTTTGTCGAATCAATACTGGCGTGCGGACGATTGATTGAATTCTATATATGTTTCTGATGCCAATTCAGTTCCGCAAACGTTATACACTCATATAGTGGTGCCCGCGAGAGTCTCGTTTTCGAGAGTCTCGCATGGTCTCGTCTCGTTTTCGAGACAAGACTCGAGACGAGACTAGGACAAGACGAGACGAGACTTCTATTGGTCTCGTCTCGAGTCTCGTGCAAGACTTCTCGTGTCTCGTGCGAGAGTCTCGCAGGTAAATATTTCTGCGTGCCGACTGCAGACTTGAGAATTTCATTCATAATAAAACATATTTAAAAAAAAATCTATAAGAAAACATCTAATGATTCTGCACGATGTTCGTTATGTCTCAACGACTGGGTGAAAAACAAAAACATTTGCGATCGTGAAGGCTGATCTGACTGATAATAATTTTTTTTCTCCAAGCGGCAGGGAAAGTGGCTTTTTCCTGCCGCCTAACAGGCAGAAAATGTGTACTTCTACTGCCTAGGCAGAAAAAGTTTGTTGCTATGCAACGTTCCAAAAAATTCTATTGAAATTAGTAATCAAAATTGACACTGACATTGGGTAAACACAAAATGATAGAGTTTTCAATAAAAAAATTACACAAAATTGGTTTTATATCATTTGGAGAAAAAAGTTTTATGTTTCACACGGCAGCAAATGTAGATTCACTACTCTTCTGCCTAGTAAAACAAATAACCATTTTCTTGGATACCTTTTTCCAAAATAAGTAAAATAATGTTGGATTAAAGTTTTGTTTTTTTTATTTGTCTGGAATATACGTGTTACTTTTTATTCTATTTCTATAACTTTCGAATATAGAAGGCTATTTTTATTTTTCTTGTTCAGATGTATGATGTAAGTATGTACAGGGTGGCCAATTAAGACTTCAGAGTTCGATTTCTCTGTTGTCTTGAGAGATACAAAAAAAAAGTCATGTATCAAAATTGAATTAATAATCCAGCTTCACATTTCAAAATTTCTTTGAAATACACAGGGTGTTCCGTAAGGTCACAGCACATCAAAGCTATGTTTTATTCATTGGAACACCCTATATTTTATTTCATTTTTGAATTCTCCCTGAAGATCTGATTTCAATGACCCATCATACTTAGGGCCTAGCAGTGAAAGTTACTGACATATAGGGTGTGCAAAATCGAGATTTTCCAAGTTCAGATTTTGTTTCTGTCGAAACTGTTCATTATTCGTCAAAACGGTTTACATGTCCCTATCTCAATTTTTCACTCACTATCAATTGGTGTTCAATTGACATTTCAATTGAAACAAATTATAAATTTAGATTTTTTGCCCACCTTGTATCAATTTCAATTGAACACCAATTGATAGTGAGTGAAAAGTTGAGATAGGGACATGTAAACCGTTTTGACGAATAATGAACAGTTTCGACAGAAAAAAATCCTGAACTTGGAAAATCTCGATTTTGCACACCCTATATGTCAGTAACTTTCACTGCTAGACCCTAAGTATGATGGGTCGTTGAAATCAGATCTTCAGGAAGAATTCAAAAATGAAATGAAATATAGGGTGTTCCGCTGAAAAAAACATAGCTTTGATGTGCTGTGACCTTACGGAACACCCTGTGTATTTCAAAGAAATTTTGAAATGTGAAGCTCGGTTATAACTTCAATTTTGATTCATGAATTTTTTTTTGTATCTCTCAAGACAACAAAGAAATCGAACTCTGGAGTCTTAGTTGGCCACCCTGTACATACCTATTAGGTACTTTTCAATAAATAATGTTATTTTTGTTGTAATTTCCTCTTCCTACTTCGATATTATTCCTAAAAAGTAGGTGAAGGTGAATATCCCGTACTAGACTGGAACAAGATTATTAATGACGAAATTGCGATACCTTGCGAGACTCTCGTACGAGACGCGAGACAAGACGAGACTCGGGGCTGCGAGACGAGACTCGAGACAAGACTCCATATTTCATCGGCGAGACGAGACGAGACTTTATGAAAGTCTCGTCTCGTTGGTCTCGTGTGAATCACTACACTTATACAGGTTCAGTCTGAGCAGTTGGCAGTATACCTCAAGAGAAATTCTATTGGTCCCAGTTCGTATCTTGATTGAAATTGATGGACTTTGGGAAAACTAAAGCTTTCCATATACAGGGTGTTTCATTAATATTGCACAAACCTTCAAGGCCGTATTTTTTGGGTAAAAATAAGGAAAAAATCCTTATAAACATATGTCCAAAAACGATTCCGCTCCGTGATACAGGGTGCTCAAGTTACCCAGAAAATATATTTTTTATTAATTTTCAAATTGACGTCATTTTACTTTATTATTTGAGATATTCTCCTCGTTTCTTCGAGGGAGCCTAAAATAAAAATCCAATAGCTAGTCAGTGACATTTCGTTTGGAAAAAAGATTGAAGAGAAGAAATATAGATATATTGAAAGAAAAATCGAATTTTGACTCATCTTTGGACGTTTCGGAACGAATCTGCTCCCGTTCTCAACATGAAAATGCAAAATATTTTTCTTCAAAAATGTTGTTCTTATACTGATGATGGCATATTGATGAGTGATTATGTTAGTATTCAAATGAGTTACAGGATGTTCTCATTAATCAATTGATCCTACTACACATACAGGGTGGCATTGAAATAAGTGCAAATATTTCAAACACTGAGAAAGCTCGACGTGTACTATCGAATGGGACTAATAAAAAATCTAGGGATCAAAATAAAATTTGAGGTTAGACCCCTTTTTACACCCAGAGTTCTACACTGTAGCAAATCTGACGTCACCTCTCTTCAAATTTCCACTCGGTAGGCACAATCACGCGGGGTTCAATCATTTAAACTGTTTTAAAGTGGCATACTTGATTTTTTTTTGTTCGTATTTTGTTCAATTTCTGGGATGGAATTCCTCGTTAATTAGGAGAATTGTAAAAAATCTGATATCATGGGAATATTCCTTAGACTGTATCATATTAATGTGCTGAATATGTGCACTTATTTCAAAAACACCTTGTATAATGAAATAATATTCATATTTTTATTTCGTAGAAACGGGGAAAGAAAATTCCAAATAATCACGTAAAATGAATGTAACACCTTTTACAGACATGATTTTTTCTTATTGACATTGGTAGGTATGTTAGTTCTTGTTTCGTTATGTTTACATGATTGATTTGATAAACGGGCAACTAGATTTTCATTATTATAGTTTTTCTCACATCAGGATCACATGCATAGGTTTGATTTTTGTTTGTTACTCCTATAACGCAGTCAGATGCGAAAAAAACTGAAAAGCAAGAAGATATGTATTTTGGAGTTGCTTCAATTATAAGAAATCGAAAAAATTTGATTTTTAGTGCAAAAAACGATTGAACTTGGGCCCCAAGGGCACGCCCCTGATAATACTTTGTACTGTATTAGGTCCAAAAAAAACCTCATTATGATTTCCACAGACATTGTGAATTTTGTCACTATCGGTTCAAGCATATTTTAGGATCTTGAGCACCCTGTATCTCGGTAATGAATCGTTTTCGGACATATACAGGGTGCTCAAGATGAACTTTTTTCATATTTCCACCCAAAAAATATGACCTCGAAGTTTTGTCCAATATTAATGAAAAACCCTGTATATTTGTACCTCTTGATGATGTTCAAGGAAAGGGCTTTTAACATCATTTTTCAGAAAAAATAATTATTTGAACCTTTCGTGAAAATTATTATGGTCTTTGTTATTGGTGTTGACAATGAAATCATTGCTATCTCTAATGAATAATTCACTTATTCAAGCGATTGCAACAAAGAAAACAGGGTGTTCAATAATAAGCAGCATATGGATACATTATACTTCGCAATAAAGGCTCTCGAATCAGATTTTTTTTCTGTTCCCGAAACTTCAGAAATGATTTGTGGGTATATATTGTTTTCATGGAGTGAAATCCACAAACTTTCTGGCCCACTCATTATTGAAATAATTCAAATACTGTTGAATACAGGGTGGCCTCAAGAACACGATAGTCATTGAATTTGGAATGAACCATCAAAGCTATAGTGTTATCACAAAGAAGGAGAGTTTAATGTACTTCGGTATAACAAATATTATATTTGAAATGTTTTTCAAGGTGTCAACCCTGTGTCTAGATTTTCAACGGAGACCAGAGACAGCTAGAATGGGCTTATATCACAAAAAAAAATGTATTTCATAATTCGATAGAACTCACCCAAACTAGCTCACCACCGCAAACCGTTTCTTGCTGTGAGCTCCCTACGTTTTATAAAAAATTATTGAAATCCCCGATTTTTCGGACCTCTGAAAACGAGGCGATGATGTGACGTCAGAATCCTAATACTGAAACAAGACTATTTCCAGATAGAGATGAATGATACATGATTTTTGACAGAGTGAATTAGCGCGAGATCACAGTTGAAAGATTTAATATATCAGTTGCCTCAGTCTCCGTCGGGCGTTTGGTATTTTCTTTCAACTATGGCGAGATGAGGTTTCTACGTCATAAGAGGGTCCGTTTTCAGAAGGTACTATTATTTATGTCCAAAAATAAAACATTCCAGTAAATTTCTCGATCGAATTATGTCGTCAATCATTATTCATGTATTAAAGGATCATTATAAACATGGTTTGAGTTAAAAGTTCTACTAAGGTGTACACGCCCATTGACTTCATACAAATTTGATGGATAAAATGATAATTTAGGAACTAAAAGGAAATTGTGAATCATTTGTGCAAATGATAGGTTACAATGAATCGAATTTGATCGAAAGTTATCGATGATACGTTTCGAATGGCAAGCAGTTTATCTTGGTTTTATTATGTCGAGTTATTCTACTTGTGTACAAATCGAAATAAAATATTTACCTTGTGTGTCCGTAGAAATAGAGTACGATGCTAGAGGTGAGCACCAGCAAAGTCGACAGGATATACAGTGAGAATGTAACTTCAGAGTTCAGCAAGAAAGGAGTCGGACTCCCGAAGTTGTAGACCCTGGAGTTGTGTTTGAGTAGAGGCAGGGCCTTCCAAACTCCAACCACATGAACCTAAAAAAAAACATTTTCTGAAATTGAAGTATATCCAATGATATCTAAGTACATGGCAAGAGCATGTATCCGGTTTCAGACCTATAGGTATAAAGGGAACATAGTAGTTACAATTTTGGATACTCAAAGGACAATGCCAGCATTGTGAGCATTCCAATCAACTGAAGAGCATTTGACATGCTTTGACCAATTCAAGGCTCACAGACAGCGGATTTCATCGGACAAATGAAAGCAACAAAAGCTGCTGCTGACAGAGTAATCAGTGCGGTTCCAATTATCGAGAGCTCTGAACGTGTAAATGGAAAATGAAAAGTAATCAATTTTTGCAGTTTTTTCAATCTTCAGCTCGAAAGTATATCGGGAAAAGAATACTATCAGTAATGGGCTGGATACTTATTGCACGATTGGCTCACCTTGTACAGAATTGACATTCCCGCGAATGATAGCAGAGTGTGCACACCGTTTATCAGCAATTGAAAGGAGAATATCAATCCCAGGCATTTGTTGGTTGCCCAGAAAAGGGCTGGATATCTGACCGAGTAGATGACGAGAGCCAGGGCCAGATTCATGTACTCGATGCTAACTGAGCTGCCAAATCCTGATTCTGAAACAATAAGGAAATCAATAGTTATTCGTTTCATAGCAGGAAAACACAAGAACTATAATAAAAAAATCAATTTTTGTACAAAGAAATAAAGGTGATAGAGAAGAAATATTGAAAAAACATGCCCATTTTTATTTCCAATGACTATATTTTAGGTATTATATTACAATTTTTCAACGGAATTTTTTGTTGTCGAAATTTCAATTTTCAGGAAATCAACAATTTTTAAAAGGAGATTCTACAGAAACTGTTAGAAATTCGATGAAGGTAAATAGAAGTATCCTTATATAAATTTCATTTTATATCCATATTTTCTACCTACAAAACTATTCATGAGATTTTTGAGAAATATTAAAAATATGGACCCCGGTACTCATCTCCAAATACCTCTAAATAAATCACTGAAGTCATATAAACTTTCTCTCTATAACCCCCATAATAGCACACAACTATTTGGTACAATTCAAGTCCGAATGTCCAAAAATAGGTGTCCTTGGGACGTCCCATCCCGTACATCTCATGCAATGTCCGAGCAAGGACGTCCACGGAATGTCCCAGCTGGTACATCATTTCAAATGTCCTAGGAATAGCATCCCTTAGACGTCCCACGTGGTACATATTGTAGAATGTCCATGCAAGGACGTGCTTGGCATGTCCCTGATGGGATATGATTTTAAACGTTCCTTTAGGGACATCCCTCGGATGTCCCGAGTAGTACATATCCTGGCATGACTTCAGATATCATATAATGCCCCTTCTAGACAACCATGAAATGTCCCTGATAGTAAATTTCTCCAAATATCTCTGCACAGACGCCCTTAATAGTTCCAGGATCGTATAACTATCGAAATGTCCCTTAGGGGCATCCTTCGAATGTCCCTTAGGGATATCCGTCGGATGTCCCAATTGGTACATGAACTTTACTTTCGGTACTTTCAATATGTTGTCCCTGCGAGGACGTTAACTTACACCTCGCCGACGAAATATTGCTCGTAGGCTATAAATACTCCCCGTCAATGTCCTTCACGTAAGTCCATTGGACATCCTTGGGAAACTTTTTCAGGATCTATTGGGGACCTTCTACGGACCATCAACTCAACTGGATGTCATCATCAGTTATGCAAGATCTGGTCCTAGAGGGACCGAGAAAAAATCAAATTCAAGAATAATTCGTACGTCCCTGCGACATCCTATGGACATCCAATTGATATCCCTTAGAGTTGCTGATAGGTTGTCCTACGGATGTCCTAAGGATGTCCTCCATAGTGCTTGATGAGGAATACTGTAGGATTTAGGTATTCGATAGTTGTCCCAGGGACATCCCTCAAGGACGTCCCTAGTTGGTCTTCAAGTGGGACATTTGTGCGTCCCACAGACTTCAATGGAACGTCCACGGTACCAAATTCGACCGTCCTATGGACGTCCTGAATGTCCCGACAGGACGTCCTAAGGATATCCATGGGACATAATTGTGTTATTAGGGCCAGTTTTGAGCGTTCAGTCACTGGAGTAGAGAGCCCTGAAACGTTTGAAGACTAAGGTAGTGTGCCTCGAACATCTCATTTCAAGCCCTTTAAAGAGTGTGGACACACTTGCCATTTTTGTTTAAAAACTGAATAAAAAACATGAGACACAAATGAATATGTTTCATAAGAGATGAAATGTCATTTTTCCGAGCATTTTTCTGTACTACTTCATTGAACGAGTGCAGCCATATTATTATTTGAAACCCTAACAGTGGCGTAACAACAATTGTAGTTATATCAATATTACATCATTGAATGTATTTCCATGAAATGAATGTTGGAATTTGAAGTTTCAACGAACACTTGAAATGTCTTCTCGTCTTTGGGCAACTCAAATATAAATAGTAACCATCATTCTATAGACTAAGGGTTCATGCTCCTCGAAAACTATCACTGTTTCTGTGGATTTATCGAGCCAGTTTACCACCGACGCTCAACTCGAATTTTCCTCATGAATTTATCCGGCATATCTGTTACTAACACATGAATTTCCCGAATGCTTTTCCACCAGATTGAGCAAATTCGATAATCGATGATTGAATTTGACTTGCTGCCGCTCTCTCCAGTCTCTATATATGGTGAACAACAACTTTGAAGCGCTCCCTGACGAGCGATGCCTCAACTAGGGCCTTAACGAACCACATACCCTGCTTTCGAGGAGTCATGAGGAGTTTATCAGCCGCGTATGCGAACGTAAATTAAGCGTACTGTACACTGTACTATACTTTATCACTAAATATTTTGCACGGGAGTATTCCGAGGTTGCAGTGTGTTAATTAAAATTCGCTCGTATTACGCCGTTGTGAAGTCAAGGTAGGCGTATATTCTAATGAAGTGAGGGTTGTGTTCGGAATTTCGAATATTTCTTTTTGAGAGAAAACAGGGTGTGTCAGGTTCTAGTGGTCTCTAGCTTCATGAACCGACAGGTTTTACGAAAATATTCCATACATACGTATACATATATTTTTCATTTTGAGGAATTGAGCAAAAATATGAGACTTATTTAAGTATAATATGTGTAGTAAGGACAAATTAAGAAGTTCAATATTACTACTACACTATATAGTCATAGTGATATCTCGTGTGGAAAAATTTCGTAGGAAGAGGGATAGGCGAGGGGATAGGTATGTCGAAAAAATAATTTTTTTTACTTTTACTCAGCTTCGGACGTTTCGGAAACAAATCTGCTTCCGTTTTCCCAAATATTAAAATAACACTAATATTTTCATTTATAGAAACGAGAAAAGATTATCCCAATCTAGATTGTAGATTGTAGATTGTAGATGGGTCGTATAGGCTGGGAGACCTCTCGATCACTGCGACCTAGAAGATCTATTGTGATTACCCCTATCTAGTTTTCGTCCTCTAACCCTAGACTTCTGATCCCGATCTAGGAAAATTATAAAATTAAATTGGTTTTTGATACGGAGTTTTGGAGTTCGTTGAGTGTTTCAGCTTTGAAATGTTATCTCACTTTGAGCAAGAGCTATCGCCTCGAACATCAGACAAATCAGAGGTTATTTATTCTCATGATTGAAGACATGATCAATTATTTTCCCAACATTACATCTTGTAGATATATTCACAGAGTAGGTATTTTTTTCCATCTTTTGGAGCGCACGAAAGGGAATCTCTATACTTAATGTTCGTATCTAGATTTTTTTCAAACTTCTTGAGATAATAAGTTCTTGGGAACACTTTCTTTGGCAAAGAAATCCAGAGCTTTGCCGTTCTATGATGGACAAACGAGTTTTGGTAAAGAGTTGTTCGACGCATTTCAAGGTTTTTTTTTACGTAGGTGGTCAAAGTCCTTTATGGACACCACGAAGGAACATTTCCTTCAGTAGTGTGGGAATCCCTACATGTAGGTGTACCCACTCAACAGTCCATCTCCTTTCAAGGCTTGTCTGACCGAAGTCTCCGATGACACTTGAACCTGTTGGCCCATTGTACCATTGTACCTCGAATATGCCGTAATTGATTCCACCATATACGACATATGGTTCTAATATAAGGGCCACTTAAAATGCTGTCACAGTAACTGTGAGCACTGCTGCTCACAGTACCAGAGGTTCGTTCAAAAGGTCCTTTCACAGGTTCCTGAAGACTACTCTTCCGAGCCCTGGTCTCGCCCATGAAGAAGGCCAAAAGTTTTCCTTTTCCTACGAGTAATGGGGGAAGGGGTTGGTCTAGCCCTGTGGTGTCCCCTGCACAGGGCTAAGGCTGTTTACTCTGAGATGTCGCCCTCTTTCCCAGAGGTCCCGTTATCGACACCATGTAACCACATAAGCAGATGGTCCCATCCTTGTACTCAGATGTCCACAAAACTGTCCCATCTGGGTGAGAAGAGCAAAGATGTTCGCAAAATGCTCGATCTGCCGTCCAGCCGCAGCTTGTCCTCCCCGCACTATGGGGAGGTTGGACTTTAGGGGAGAAGGCAGAAAGGAGAATTGACCAACAGAGGATACCCCCAAAAACAAGTTGAAGTTCAATAAGTATCCGGCTAGGTTACCTCGGGATTACTTCTTCCGTACTCACAAGTTGTGAGAGCCTGAGGGTCATTTCAAGGTTGATGACGAAAGGATGTGCTGACTCTGCTTGTTAATTTCGTCTGACTGGTATTGCTAGTGATGGAATGATAGCAGAAAGATTTCTGCAGAACATTTCCCGTGGAAGTATCTATAGAAAAATTAAAGGTCGCCGACTTTTCTACAGTGTTCCGATGATGTCGAAGAACTAGTTCGTGTGGCATCACCTACCAGGCGAATGGCTCTTCTCTGGATGGAATCTAAGAACATCAACGTATGTTTGGATGCTGAACCCCATATTATGTGGGAATAGTATCCTAAAACAAGCCATATCTGTGCTTTGTACATCATGAAAAGCTGTTGAGGACTGAGGTGTAAAGTAGATTTTTGCACGGAATAAGAACCCGAGTTTTACGAGCATAGATATTGAGGACTTGGTGGTACCAGACATTAATATATCAGGCACACTGAGTTCCGCCTTTCTAGAGAAAATACAGGTTTGAGTTTTGGTGGCGTTGAATTCAAATAGTTCGTTGGCCCAAGCTGTAATTTCAGCAAGATGTTTATCAACAGCTTTGACCTGCCTTCCTCGAGTGCCGTGAGTTGTTAGTTTCCTTGCAGAGTATACTATAGGTATCGAATTTTTTTTAGGTATAAACTCCTTTGATATCAGCGAAGGAACATCGTTTCTATTTTTATTTTGCATTCATTTCGCTATAGTTTTAATCATGTTGATGAAATATTAGTCCTCAGGCAAAGTGATTAATAAGTCTAAAATCACGTTTTCCCTCTTTACATTATGGTATTGTTCAAAGAACGAACTTAATTATAACAGAAAGCACACAACGAATGCTGCCTTTATTAAATTGAACAGTCTGCTTTCTGTTATGAAGTTCCTTACGACTGTATTTTTTCATAATTTCCTTTTCAAATGCAGGCAGGCACC